AAAGATTCTCGAGTAAACGAGCGCGTATGACATCCCTAGTGTTACAGACGTACGGTAAACCCGTTTATCATTAAACAGGGCGTATGCTTGTTTGCAGCATTAGTAAAAAGATTGTCTTTACTAAATACTTTAATACATAATGTAACTTAAACATATATTGTTTAGCTTTTAAACTTCATTGCTAAATAAATATTAAAAATTTAATTATTTAATTTATTTGAAGGAAAATGAACTGACTTTTATTTTTAATTTTTACTTATAAAGAAGAAAGTTTTTTTAATCTTAAACTTCATGTTTAAAACTGTAAACAACGCCATCTCTCGATAAATTTTGTAACTAACAGATGAGAACTCAAAACTTGAAGAAACTTATTGCTTTACTTACCTAGAACTTAAACGCACGTAATAACTTTGTTAATCACATACCTACTCCACTAGATGACAGCACGTAGCAAAATGTTAACACACTGTATCAAACGTTTTATTGAGAAAAAAATATGAAGAACAATAATTACAAATCATAATTAATCTCTACTTATTTATTATCATTGTAATAAGTTATTATTATTTAGAAAATGCCTAATTATTAATTTTTCTTATAATTTTTATCGACATATAAAAAAAATTACTTAGGAATTAAACTTGACCCCATTTATATAAATTTCATTAATTAAGTGTGTGTGTGTGTGTGTGTGTGTGTGTGTGTGTGTGTGTGTGTGTGTGTGTGTGTGTGTGTGTGTGTGTGTGTGTGTGTGTGTGTGTGTGTGTGTGTGTGTGTGTGTGTGTGTGTGTGTGTGTGTGTGTGTGTGTGTGTGTGTGTGTGTGTGTGGAATTTACAGGAATTTTGTGATCAACCGTCTCAAATACTTTGACTGTACATAACTTTTTTGTTTAAATTTCGAAATTAACGAAATTAAAAAAAATATGCAACCAGATTATGTCCCTGGAATGTTGCTCATGCGAAATCAGCAGAAATTGATCATGATAGTTTCCATAGGGAACAAAGGCAGGTCTGATAACGGATAATGCTACCAATAGAATCGCTACATATAATTTCTTCTGTACCGCTAGTCCTCGTTACTAACAATCCCCTCCCCTATCAGTTTTGAATTTTAGTGATATTATTTAACTATATTATATCATCATTCTGCAGTATTATTCAATCTGCGCCCCAGATATTAGATCAACGAAACCAAACATGGCTTCTTTGCAGAACGTACGAAATTTGCTGAACTAATACAAATTGAACATTGATGATACAAATATATTTTTTACAACTTAAACAAAAATCGATTTTGTTTGTTTAAAATAAAATCGATTTTTATAATTGATGAAAAGATAGTTGTGGCTTCAAACCTATTACAGTACATATATTTTACATTCATGAGTATGTTTATTTATCTGGATATTTTTTTTTCTATGCGTTTGCATTATGTATTAAGTATGGGAGAAAAGGGATTGTTAGTAATGGGGTCTTACATCGCCATTGCTAGCTATGTGTCCCATGTCGACCCCCACGCGGTTCTCCCTGGAAATTATCATAGTTCTTTTTTAAATTCGTCTCGATGTGCTAACTGACTTGCTTTCATCTTCACCTGTCATCTCTCATTGGTGTTCGGCTAGCGTATATCGATAGTGCAGGTGGGGTTACCATTTCATCATTATCCATTAAAAAAGTACGTACCTATATAATTACAAGTATGTTTAATGCGTGTAGATAACTGCAATACAAGCTCCGCATAGTTTATGACTAGATGGTACTGTGTGATATGCCCAGGAATATTTATTGTTTACATATTTAAATCTCTAAGCGTAACAGGAAAATGTTGCCTGGTGCAGGCGTCTTTGAATAAATTCCGTGTTTCCTTCCGGCTGACACCAAAAACAATACAACTAATTTATTTTTATGCCAAAAGCACAATCACATATTTTGTTTCCTAATAACTCTGGTAAGCTGAAATTAGCTGATTCTTGCTATTAGAATATCATAAATTTTAGTATCGTATCGTAATAGTAGTAGCGCCGTCTGGATTATTTGCCCTTCGTTTTCGTGATGCTGATGGACGTTACCAGTATTATATTATCTGTGCCAGTACTATCAGTACCCTAAAAACTTAGATTATATAGATAAAGTATTAAAAAACAGAGCAACTTTTTGTCAGCTAAGTGTCAAATTGGCTGACACGTTTTGTTTATCAGTCCTCTATATACTTACACATACAATGTATCTTGACGTATTATTTAATAAATAAAATGAATACGAATTAAAAGATGCAAAAATTATAAGACAAAATAAATATAGAAATTACAAAGGAATTATTCATAACAATTTACCAAGCAAAATTGTATGAAAAAGTTGACCCGCTTTTCTCAAAGCATTTGTATGAAAACACTCTATCTATATAATCTAAACCTAAAAAGTGATACTAGTCATACAACCTTTTAACACATATCTAAGGTCTCTTAAAAGGTAGTCAGATAAAACAAAGATTTTATGGTCTCTTGTCTCTACCCTCGCTTCTTTAGCCGCGTCCATAATTCATCTCATAGTTACATTCAAACCGGTTACACTGACTCTTCTCACTCAGAACAAACTAATCACAATACAAGTACATAAATTTATATTTCCCCAGTTCGCCTTCATTAAGTATTGCATTATGAAATATCAATAAGTATTATACTATACCATGATATTATGCGATTCTTTTCCCTTTCCTTGCCATTTAATAACATTATTGCCAATTTCGACCAATAGAATACGACCTACGTATCACATATCGATATTTGATTGGTCAGAATAAAAGTTCTAAATTAATACAATTGATACTAAAAATAATTGGCGGTTACTCGGTCGCGTTCCAAAATCAAACTAGAGAAAGGTGTCTCATGTTATCTGACGTCACGCATTTAAGTTGGTAGCCTTTATAATCTACACGATAGGTTTACTCTACACTATTATATCTTCTATACTAATATTTCAAAGATGTAAATTTGTGATTTTGAATTTCAGGGTTACTGTTAAAAAGATATATCTATTAGTGAGTGCTATAAAATACTCTTCATTTTGGCAAATATATATTTCCAATAATTAATCACAACAAATATGATTGAAATTGGTAAAAATTATATAATATGGCGTGCACTGCCTGAACTTTTTAAAATAAAGAAAACCTACAGCAAAAATATTCATTACTTTAGCTTAATAAGAAAGTCAGCGACACCATATGTCTAAATTTAATATTTCGGCCAAATAATGGTTTTTATATTAAAAGTAAAAGAAAAATAAATTTTACAAAATTAAATTTGGATACAAATTTGACATATACATTACAAATTCTTATAAAAACAAATAGCCAAATCAAAATGAAAATTTCATGGGGATAACTTTTTTTCACTTTTTATAGTATGTTAATTGATGCAGTTTGTTAAATGATAATGCGAAATAAGTACAATAAGCCGGTAAAATTATTACATTTTCATTTACGCTAGCCGTGCGAAAATAGTAGGCGGGGAACCAAGGCGAGGGGCGCAGGAGGAACTATATAAACGCGCGCACTTCAAATTGTTAAATAGGAATTTATTTCAAAATCTTAGGCAATATTAGTGCAGTACTTTCACACACACTAAAATACCAGCCTTAGTAAAATATGTTTAAAAATTTACAAGTTACACAAACAAATATTGCACCCATGTGAAGCCGGGGCGGGTCACTAGTAATATTATAAAGAGAAAAATTTTGTAAATTTGCGAATTTATTTGTAGAAAGTAATATCTGAAACTACTAAACCAATAATGAAATTTCTTTCACCAGTAGAAAGCTACATTATTCCTAAGTGACATATACTATATTCAAATATGATTAATAATATTTTTTAATGTGAATTGACAATATTTGTCAATAAATTTTAACAAAAACACGCTAATGCGTTTATTTATCGGTGTATGCTGACTACACGGTTTGAATATAAACAAATTTTGTTTTTGCTCTAAAGTCCGCGGCACTAGGTATATATTTTTATAAATTAACAAAAAAAACTTTACTGTGTATTAAATATAAAAGATAAATAAGTGCCATCAAATATAATCTTAAACAATTGACATGCTTACCCAAAACATATAAGCAGCCAACAATAAATAAAATAAACATAAAATAACACAAAGGACAAAGCAATTACAAATAAATAATAAAAAATATACAAAATATTAAATTTCACCATAATAATCTAAATAAACTGATGACATAAAAATAGCCGTCATTTATACAATTTTCGTAAAAAAAAACTTGAACTACAAACATCGACGTATTAAAAATTATTCTCCAGGAAAGGCTGGCTGGCATATATTCGTACACTTTAGGATTTATCTTTGCGAAGCTTCGCTTGTACCTTGAGGTGGACACCAGATGATTCTAGTTCGAGTCCCCTCTAAATATCCACGCTTAAGCCTACGATAGATGACTACTTTTCAACACTAAGTCAGAATAATTTTAAATGAAATGTAACTTTGGGATCATGTTATAAAATTATAAATATTGAATACCTTTAAATCTACTACTGGTACTGGTACTATTTTATTATAAGATTCCTACGCTATACTACGGATACTTGTGCTCTATGTGTGTATAACACACATAGAGCACAAGTATCCTGATAGATATAGACACAGAACCGGGATAAATTCGAAAAATTCTGGCGGAAAGCTTTACTAAGTATATTATACACTCAGGAGACTTTATAAAACGTTTTTGACTGTGGGTTCTATACTACCTAGAAATTAAGTACCAATTTCCAATCTATATTTTTTAAAATAAGAGTCTTTATCTTTTATGTATCCTTATAATTTTATGTATCCATGATGAGGATACATAAAATAAAAACTACATGACATTTTTATTTGCACTGATACAATAATTACTCTGGCAATATTTGTAATCCTTAACGTACATTTGTATGCTTAAACAGTATATAATACAGTTTGCCGGCTCTCAAGGTTTTTAATACTGTATTGACAACGAGTGAGAGCGTTGCGTTGCGGCGATGCTCACTGCCTGCTAGTACGGAATAAAATACGATTCGGTAGTGACGTTCAAAGATTTTTTTCTTCTTGAATAAAAAATCTGGATCTGTCAAATCGCGCGCCAATTTTAAATAAGGAATCCAGTGAAAAGTTTTTAAAATTATTTTTAATTGTGTTGTTCGGTGATTAATATATTTTTTTTAAATAATACTGTGTTAGTTTTCTGTACAGTCATACAAAAGTAAAAGGAGGTGAAACGCTTGTAAATCGGTGAGTTGTTTTGTCATGTGTTCTCAATTTTATTATTATTGATAAATACGTAATTTCTAATTTATCAATATTTAATACTGATGCTTTTAATTTTATCAGAATTATATGGATACCTGTAGAAAAAACATAATTAGATTAGTCCTCAGTAACAAATGCATAATTCATAATATAAGTACTTACCCATCAAATAATATTATTTAAATACTAATACATACATTAAATATTACATTATAAAAAATGCTAATTAAATTTATCATGTAAAAATATAACTTTTATCAAACAAAACTATTGTTTTGGAATTAAATATACAAAAAAGTTCGAAGTCTGAGAAAAAACGCTATAATTTATTGGACGCATTCGTTAAAGCACAAATGCCTACAAGTAGAAATAAACTTAGTAGATTAATTTATTGCCCACATTCATCTTATATATATCCCTTAATTAACTTCTAGATCATGTACCACAAAATTAAACATAACTTAAAAAAAACGGTCAGGCAATAATGACTTTTGGCTAACTCATATTTTTTAAGAACAAAACAAAGCTTACCATTTTTCTGATTTGCAAATAACTTGATTAAAATTTTCCCAGCTCAGGTCATTTTTTTTTCAATATGAATCGAGGACTATCTTTTATATATAATATGAATACAAATATTCCCAAAGAGGGTTGACGTTAGGCAGGCGGCCAGTCGTAAAACTATAAGCCAAATCTTTTTGTAATATGGACAAAAAACATATTACGCCGACCCCAAATAATAATTAGGATAAGAGTAAGAAGATGGTGAATACAAGTATACAAATGTACTAATGTGTACGAATTAATATACACGTATTATGATTAATAAATTAAATATCGGCCAATTTTAATGATCCCAACAACAAATATATATTTTAGATCTAATGTAGAAATCGAACAAACTAATCTGTGTAGACATGACTCTAAGAACCAACATTATTATTAATCGTCATGCTATGTCGCTATTAGAAGTTTTTAATGATTTATTTTTTATTTTTTCCACTCACTGAATAATTGATACGCATTCTGGTAAACATATGAATAAAAAGATTGACCCATTTTTGAGTGTTTATGAAAATATTTACTAAAAACATGTGATGTATAAGATCTGTCATTCGAAAAGCAAATTGGTCATGTATTACACATTACAAGAAAAAATACAGCTCTACCTATATCGGAACTATAAGTAGTTTACCTGCCCAAGTACATTAATGATATGATATAATGAGCACAGTTTGGAAGCATTCTTAAATCAGTAGGATGGAAACCGTTATTTATTGGGGGAAAGGAACTGTTAGTAGGGTCTAACTGACCCATTGCTAGCAATATACCCTATCAGGTCAACATCCACGCGGTTCCTTCTGGAAACCATCATGGTTAATTCTAGTGAAATTCATCCCTATAGGCTAACTGACCTGCTTTCATCATCACCTATCATCCCTCACTAGTGCTCCGCCAGCATATGCCGATAGCGCAGACAGGGTTACCATTCCATTATCACCCATTAAAAAAAGACCACATACTGTCGATTCCTCCATCATTACACACACTGGGTGCCCTGATATTCTTTATGTAATGCAGGTGTAGGCCTCGAGTCCTTCCCTAAACCATTAAATTCCCATTTAAATCACCAATCAATCACCCATTTAAAAAAAAAGCGGTTTGATTAAGGATGCCCCTTGTAACAAGCTCTTGACATCTTTAATCCTGAATTGTCGGTGAAACCTTTCCCGAAAAATTTATAGGAAGTCTTACATGCAAAATTATCATTATATCATGCCATAAAAATATCATTACTTTGTGGTCTACCATAAAATTTTATCTATATAAATCCTGTATAAGATTTATTTCGTATGCCTAGCTAGTTTAAACATTAATTTTAAAACCCAATATACCAATCAACGCACTAGTGCAAATTCGTACATTATACAAATATACAAAAAATTATTAACTAAAATTCAACAGTCCAGTCAAAGTAAATTTCGTACTTTTATAATATTTTATATAAATATCCGCATAGGTTCAATGCTTTATCTATTATTCTAAGGTATATATTACTCAAGTTATTGCCATATTAATTGGGAAAGAAAATTTGTTGTTCTTACCCAATTTTATGGTAATACTATGATGAAAACCTAATAAACGGCTAATTTACTGATCGAGATATATTATGACATGTGATATGAATATGGACGAAAGGATTAATCACTTTCCATACGATTCATAATTCAAGGTATCAGTTGGGCATATAATATTAGATATAGCGCGGCGAATACCTATTTCTGCCAAAATGTATTTTGCAGTGAATGAACATAGTCAAATTAGCCAATTTTACGTTCTAATCTTCTTTCTTTCTATATATAAAAATACATATTCTGACTGTAATACCTTGTTCTTAGATTCTGACTGACTTATCTGTCAACGCACAGTCTAGACTACCAGAGCCTAGAAACTTTAAATTTTGAACATACTTTTCTTTTAAGGCATAATAATTCTTTAAATACCCAATCTAGCAAACTTATTAAATGTCCTTGCACCAATTTTAAAATTAATTTTACATTTTTTATTTCAACAAATCCTGAACTTTTTAAATTTTAGAATCAACACGATGCACTGATACAACAAAGGAAAGCTACTGTACAAAGTATACCCAAAAATATATATAATACAAATGGCTTTAAGTCGCACGACTTTAAAAAAAATAGTGAAGTCACAGATAATATAATACAATACTCTAGAAGTGAATAGAATGACGTTCTCGTGTGATCACGACCCTCAGTAATGAGAAAACAAGAGAAAAAATTATATGGTCATTGTCCTCTACGTATTTTAGTACTGAGCAATATGTATGTATTTTTTGGTACTGAGCAGTGTGTATATGTATGGAAGGTGTTCTAAAACCGTTTTGTTTATTCATTAGCACGACGTTAAATAATGGTAAAAATTTTGTTACTTTTTTATACGCATGTTTCGTCATAATAGCAAACTTACACTATGTTAAGTTACCAACTCCAACTCGATTCAGGTCAGGCCTGGTACTATTAGTAAACTTAGATTGTAAGTGCATCACTATTGCGTCTCAATTTACACAAAGCAATAACGGATCAGCATTTAGCTGTCCCGAGTTTAGAGACGATAACTGGTCTAATGTAAACTTGCACTTATGGTAAACTGTTTTAATAGTTTCAAATAATATGGTAAATTCATCTATCGCGGTATACCAATGCAGGATAATAATAATGGTGAGACTTTTCAAGCCAATTGACCCGTTGCGTCGAGACCCTTCCATTAGGAATATTAGATATAGTAAACTCTAAGGGTATGGTAGAGTTTTGTTTAACTGAGATGCAACTGCTTTAAACTCTTCTAATCATACTGGAGAATGATATACATTATACAGCTATACAACTTTTCTTAATAGAATATGGTAAATAGATGGTCGACAGCAAAATTTGATAATACATTATAGATAATTAAGGATTAAAAAGTTATCTTTGTCGTTTGAGGTTGTTCATCATTTTTTAATAACTTAATGTGAGAATTGATCATTCAGTTAATATCATATTCCATAAAAAAAATATACTTCACATTGTAGCAAAACTAGTTATTTTGATTGAAATAGAAAACTACAAAACTGATTCTGATAAAATTTCTATCGGTATCTATAAATATTTTCTTTGAGGTAAAAAAAGAACTCTCCGAATCCGTTCATAACTGACGGAGTTATGAGGCAAAAGACATAAAAAATACAACCGAATTAAGAACATTCTACTTTTTTTTTATTTGATTAAAAAGGCTTTTTCTGTATAATATATAGAAACATTACGAGTACCACAGTGTAGTAATTAAATATTAATTAGTAAATAGTAATATCCATAATATAGTTCATGTCTAATGACGACAAATACCATGTTTCTTCGGATGGGCTGATAGCTTATTAACTATTACAAATTAAATAAATAAAAGTAGATAAAGCTTTTCAGTATAGGCAAAATAATATGATCTTTAAAAATATGATATTATTGAAACTAGTTGTTGCTAGATGAACGTCTATAAAGTCATCTTCCAAATTAATAACACAATTTTAATGCATTTTAAAGCCACGTCTAAGTCAAAATATTAGAATATTACATTAAAAATCTATACAAAAAATGGCATTGAATTAGATGACAAAAAATTCACTATTTACACCACCAATTTATTAAAAAAAATGCAAATTCATTATTATTACATAGTATGTAGATTGTTCACAAAAATAAAAGAAAAAATCTGTCAAGTTGAAATACGTATAAATAATTTATGCTAATAAAAATAATTTAGATGTCTTTCTAGAATCTAATAAATAACAGTAATATGAAAAACAAAATTACAAATATTGAAATAAGTACAGCGAACTTACTTATGCTCTTGTCTGTGCTGTCAATCCTAACACATTGTTTGACTTTGAGTCTTCTTGAAAATCTTTTGTTCATTGTTTCTAACGTCATTATTGTATCTACTTTGATATGAGATTTCCGTGAAATTCAATAACATCGTGAGGTCAACTTTAAAGGAGTGATAATAATTCATTATATTAGATTAAAAAAAAATCTCGACATCAGACAGCGACTCGAGTAAGTATTTATAGTAGTATTCTTTAAATCTTTAAGTTTGCTGCGCAATTATTTATTCTCCTATATTACTCGTATACATAACCATTCCTTTCCCGTAAGCGTCATAAGAGGCGACTAAGGGAACTTAACGGTCTAAGGATAAGCAGCGTTACTCATGTACTATAATTTTTTTTTTTATCTCTACAAAAAAGCAAATAAAATTGAGTTGGCAATAATTAAAATTTGTCAAAAAGTTTCTTATTGTTTCATCTATGATTAGGTACATTCGTGAATATTCAAATGATTTTTAAGATTCCCTACCAAAATAGTACAAGGGAACTCTTATAGTGCAACTACCTTCTATTCGTTTATACAACACAACTAATGCTG